TGTAATACATAAAATAAGAATAAAAATATGAATAAACTAAAGAAAAATTAACATAATAAAAATTATATTATACTAAACTTATAGAAGATAAAGATAGATAATTAAATAAATTATAAACATCGTTTTAGGAAATCTTTAATTCATTTTAAAATGAAAAAAAAAGAACTTTATAATTAGAAGCTGAAATCTAATCACTTTAATCAAAAATTACTGAACTTAATCATGAATTTCATTAAAAAGAAGTTTGTTTAAATGAAAAAATAAGAGAAGCTTCAAGAAGAGAGTCTAGATTGAATTCTTTTGAGGCTACTGATTTAAGACCAGATTCTAGAATGAATACAAATGATCAAATAAATCTTGCTTAAGATTTAAATTAAACTAATGATTAATATTATGCATTACATATGAGTATGTTAATTTAGGAAGAAAATTATAAAAAAGAAATAGATATTTTAAAAGAAAAAATAAAAAATTAAGAATAATAGATAAAAGCTTGGAAATAACTTAATGAAAGATCTGAAGATAAAATTAAATAATTAGAGTCTAAGACTATATTAATAAATGATAATTAATCTGCTTAACATATTGCATAATAAAATGAATAAATAAAGTATTTAACTAATATGCTTAATTCTTTTAATGATAAGTTTATGAAAATTAAGGAAGAACACATGAGACTTTTAAAAACTTGTTAATGATAAATATTTTTTATTTGATAATCAATTTATAATTATTCTACAATTCAAAAATAAAATAAAAGAAAGTGATATCATCAACTTAAAATATATTATAAAATTTTAATAATGATATATGTACCCATTATAGAATCCTTATAGGTGAATAAAACTATTGAAAACGATAGATTTGATGCATCTCCCAATTTTTAAAGGTTCAAATTAAACAATTTACATCAAAACCATTTTTCTTTGGCATGCAAAATTAATAACACAATAAAGGCAACTGCAAATAAAAATTCTGTTGTTTTTGGGTCCTCTTAAGATAGAAAAAGACCTTCCAAATTAATTTTGCCGTCATTATAATATGACTTAAACTTTAAGTCAGTTGACAGACATAAAGCTTCTCCAAAGATAAGAGGTAATCGAACAAACCGAATTAAGTCTGAGAAATCTGATAAATAATGTTGTCATTCTCCATTGATTAACAAAACTGAAACTATAGTCTAAACTATTTAAACAACTGAATTAAACTATCTATAAAATTTGATTTAAAGGGTAAAAACACCTCGTGTAGGACAATAACATAAAATATCACTCAGATAGGATGAGTTCATACCGATGAATTCTTAAGAACTTAAAGAGAGTTTAATTTCATTGATGTAAATTTTATCTCAATAAAAGGAATAAATATGGTTTAAAATAAAGATGATATTACCAAAGATAATCTAATTGTATATATGTGATATTTATTAATCAAAATAATAATAAATATTCTTTATAATTAATTATTATAATAAAAAAACTTCAACTGAATGTGATTTTTATAAGAACAATCACAATAAAAAATTTATTATTTTAATAATATATATAAATTATATTATGAATCTGAAAAATTATTTGTATTTCTAAATTATTTATAATAAAATAATTATTATAACTATTTCTTGCACGGTTTACATTTTTTAAATCATGATTTTTAGTTACTCAATTAAATAACTATTGAGAATTCAACTTGTTTGATAAATTCAAAATAATTATTGATTTTAAGATCATTCTTATGTATAAATGTAATAAAGTTATAAAATAATCTATAAACATCAAATAAATTGTATATTGTCATCTAAAGTAGAAAATATTTTTTTATTTCTTCACAGGATACTTTAATAAAAATTTTGAGATTTCCAAATAAGAAAACAATAAATCTTTCTGAGAATATAAAGAAATGTTTAACAATGAAATAAAATAAATAAGAAGAATATCTGAAGAATTAAAAAAAGAATTCAAATCAAGCTAAAAAAATGAATTCTATAATATCATTACTTTTGCATCTTTAAATCTTAATAATATTTTTATAAATTAAATAAAGCAAAAAGATAATAAATAACTTAAAAGATCTTTAATTTAAACCTAATTTAATGAGTTTTTTAAATATATCAATAATATAAAAAACAGCTCAAAATATTTTTTTAATTAATAAAATTAGAGTATTTAGTAATTTGAAGAATAATCAAAAAACCTTATTTGATATTTAGTTTATAATTTGTGATTTTTCAACTTGATTAGAGAATTTGATAATTTTAATATACTTTAAATAATTTTAATTATTTTTTAATTATTAAGCACTTCAACAATTTATATTCTTATAAATTTATTGGAGTATTAAAATGATTAAAATTTTCAATTTTCATATAAAATATCTATTCATATACATTAGGCTTTGGGATAAAGGTTGAAATTTGCCTATTTTGGCTTATAAAATTTGGCTTGAATAACTTGAATATTATTTGTCCTAAACTTATAATTTTAGTAATAGTAAAGATTGTTACCTCAATAATAGATAAAATTAATGAATAAATCTAAAAATAATTGTCTTCGATTTATTTTCGAAATATATATGATTAATTTACTAAAATACTACTTTTATTTATTCTTCTATTGATTTGATATTCCAGTGTTAAATGGAATTAGAAAAATTATTAAATATTGTTAAAATCTATATCGCTAAAATACTTTCATCTATGCTGATTATATTTAAGTTTTTCTTAATGATATTATAAAGAATTGTTTCGAAAGATTAATCAAAATTTATATTTAGAAAAATTTGCTATGTCTAATCTAAAGTCTTCAATAACAGTAGGGATATTTTAATCACTAAGCTTTTGCGGTTTAAGATAAAAAATATTAAAAAACATTGCCTTTTAACCACCAAAGGTGAGTTATGCTTTAAGATAAAGAATGGAAGATAATACAACTTAAAGCACAAATAAAAATTCTTTCTCACTTTAATAAATTGAATATGAATCAGACATAAGATAGAAATCTAAATCCTATGATGATGAAGATATAAACTCATTAGGGTTGTTAGATTTAGCAGATGAGCTTATGCAATTTTCTAGTGGAGGTACTAGTCCAACACGCGAAGAGTAATAGTCAAATTTAATTTAATAAGTCCTATATATCCGTCTCATGATTTTTATTTAATTGATGAACATGGAAAAGAGATAATAATTCCAAAGCAAGATAATTTAGAATTAACTGGATATTTTTTAAAGGGCAGAAAAGGACATAGGATAGCATCCCTTTATGTTAAAAGTGCTTTTCCTATAAGTGATATGGTGATATTATTTAGTCATGGAAATGCAAGTGATTTGGGTTATATGATTGATACATTAATTGGTAACTTGTAATTATTAAATACTAGATTTATGTACTAACTTAAGAATTAATGTCTTTGCTTATGAATATTCAGGATATGGATTATCATAAGGAAAATGCACAGATCTCAATATTATCAATAATATTTAGGTGGCTTATGATTTTTTGGTCTCTTAATTAAAATTTGATCCTACTAAAATAATTGTTTATGGTTATAGTATAGGATCTGGACCAAGTGTTATGCTAGTTTCTGATAATGAATTTCCAGTTGGTGGCTTAGTTGTTCATTCTGGTTTAAGTTCTGGATTGAGAGTTGTGAATAATAAATTGAAATCAACTCCATTTTATGATATTTTTCCAAATGTTGACAGAATTAAAAATGTTACATGTCCAGTTTTCATTATGCATGGATTGGAAGATGAAATAATAGATTTTACATAGGCAAAATTATTAGCAAATAATTGTTAAAGACTATATGAATATTGGGAAGTAGAAAACATAGGACATTCAGGTATTGATACTAATGCTGAGCATAGAAAGAACTATTTTTATAAATTAAGAGATTTTATCAAATGTAAATATATTAAATAAATTAAAGTGATATAATAGGAAAATTAAACAATCAAAGAATTAAAGCAGAGAAATACTGCAAGTCCTAAAAATAATAGATCATATAATCATTATTATGATAACAAACTCAGAGATTTTCATTTAATTTGCAAGAAAATAGAAGATTCAGATTCAATACAAAAAAAAGGATGATGAATTCATCTATTCAATTTTGAAAATAATTGTTTTGTTTATGATATCATATTTAAAACATTTAATTATAATCAACAATCTTAGTTGTTCTTTTTGGTATCTTAAATATGAAGCTATATTTTATTAAAATAATTCTTACTTATTTGATTATAGAGATTTATTTAATTGCTTTATCTTTTTTATTTTAAAATGATTTAAGATTTGTTTCATAGATTTCATAAACCTACTAAATGTCATTCAGGTCTTTCAATTTCTATTCTTTAATAATATTAATTTAATATTATAAATTCTATTTTAACATTAAAATTACTCTTATTGTATTATTAATATTTTATTATCTATCTTAATACTCAAAATAATTTTTCCATATTTCGAATGAAGAGACTAGTATCAAAATGGTATAAATTAATATTTCTAAAAAAAATTCTGTTCCCTATCAAACAATAATAATTAATATAACTAATTTTAAGGCCTCATCTTCATTTAATTAATCATATTCAACTTTCAAATTTTAGTTCAAATAGATTCTATCAATTTTTTACTATCTTTCATAATCTCTATACATCCCAGAAATAATAAGCATTTCCTAAATTAAGCATTTATTGTGTAATAAATCTTTATTTACTCATTTAGACCTTTTGGATTGATATTTCTTTTTTGCTTGTAATTATTGGTCTTGCAAATACTCTAACAACCAAAGAAATAAGTTTTAACTATGGCAACATTTTAATTATTAAATAATATTAAAATAAATGTAAGTGAATTCAATAAATATCTACTCTTTATCAATAAAATCATATTTAATTTTCATTATTACTATTAATAATATATTCTTATTAACTTTATTACAAGTTTTTAAGATAATAAATTTCTTAATTTTTTCAATTTATTTTAAGCTTTTTGACAATGTTTTCATTATGTTTACCTAAAAACTCTTTCTAATACTAATAATTACATTTTTAACCCTCAACTATACCATAGAGCTAAACAGATAAAAACAAACCTAGAGAAAACCTTTTTTAAAAATATATGAAAATTAGATTGGCCAAAATGGAAATAAAAGATTTAAATAAAACTCATAATTAAACCTATAGAGCTAAAACTAATGTAAACCGAACCTTATACCCTATTTAAAATGGATAGTGTTAACTAAAAAATAAAGTGAGAAGATTTGTTACATTAGCTGAATTTCCATAATCAGCTAGAGCTGTCATAAAGAAGACTTCAAACGTTAAAAGAAAACAGAGCGAAAATTGGAACGATTTAAAACAATGGAATTTTACAGATGATACAATTTAATAGTGAATAATGAACAATATTCATAACCAGAATATTACTTAATCAATTTATATAATTAAATATGAGTTAGCTTAGATTGATAAGACATTAAATCATTATAAATGATAAATAATCGGTTCAATATATTATATAATTCGAATGAGTTAAAATGTATTTGCTAAATAAATATATAAATTTCTTCTTAAAATCTTAGAAATGGTTGTTACTTTTATCTTAAATATTTTATTTTCCAATATTGAATTAAATATAAAATTTATTTTCCTTTATTTTATTAATATATAAACATTATCATTAATGGGAAACATTTGTCGGTAAAATCCAATAAATGATAAAAACGATCTAGAGGTTACTTCATCCTAACCTCCTCCTATTTAATAGATGCCACCTTCTAAACCAGAGGAAGTTAAAACCTAAGCAGTTGAAAAATAAGAGGAGCCTGCTCAATCAATTGATTAAGCAAAATAAGAGAACGAAGTATATTTTCTGATTCAATATTTCATAGCCCAAAAGAAAAGAGCAAAAGAAGATGGCAAAAATAGCTGCAGTTATTGATCAAGAAGTTATATATGAGAATGTTCAAAAATAAGAAAAAGTAAAAAGTCCATTTGATTACCAATTGCTTTTGAATGCTTTTGGAAATAGCTTTATTTTTGGGTAATTACAACCAGAAGACAAGTATTAATTCTATTTTTAGTAGATAAGAGTGAAAGTTGTTGACAAAATGTTTTATTGCACAGTTCACGATGGCGAAATGGTTTTTAAATAAGGAGATAAGGCAAGTTCATANTTTATCAATAAAATCATATTTAATTTTCATTATTACTATTAATAATATATTCTTATTAACTTTATTACAAGTTTTTAAGATAATAAATTTCTTAATTTTTTCAATTTATTTTAAGCTTTTTGACAATGTTTTCATTATGTTTACCTAAAAACTCTTTCTAATACTAATAATTACATTTTTAACCCTCAACTATACCATAGAGCTAAACAGATAAAAACAAACCTAGAGAAAACCTTTTTTAAAAATATATGAAAATTAGATTGGCCAAAATGGAAATAAAAGATTTAAATAAAACTCATAATTAAACCTATAGAGCTAAAACTAATGTAAACCGAACCTTATACCCTATTTAAAATGGATAGTGTTAACTAAAAAATAAAGTGAGAAGATTTGTTACATTAGCTGAATTTCCATAATCAGCTAGAGCTGTCATAAAGAAGACTTCAAACGTTAAAAGAAAACAGAGCGAAAATTGGAACGATTTAAAACAATGGAATTTTACAGATGATACAATTTAATAGTGAATAATGAACAATATTCATAACCAGAATATTACTTAATCAATTTATATAATTAAATATGAGTTAGCTTAGATTGATAAGACATTAAATCATTATAAATGATAAATAATCGGTTCAATATATTATATAATTCGAATGAGTTAAAATGTATTTGCTAAATAAATATATAAATTTCTTCTTAAAATCTTAGAAATGGTTGTTACTTTTATCTTAAATATTTTATTTTCCAATATTGAATTAAATATAAAATTTATTTTCCTTTATTTTATTAATATATAAACATTATCATTAATGGGAAACATTTGTCGGTAAAATCCAATAAATGATAAAAACGATCTAGAGGTTACTTCATCCTAACCTCCTCCTATTTAATAGATGCCACCTTCTAAACCAGAGGAAGTTAAAACCTAAGCAGTTGAAAAATAAGAGGAGCCTGCTCAATCAATTGATTAAGCAAAATAAGAGAACGAAGTATATTTTCTGATTCAATATTTCATAGCCCAAAAGAAAAGAGCAAAAGAAGATGGCAAAAATAGCTGCAGTTATTGATCAAGAAGTTATATATGAGAATGTTCAAAAATAAGAAAAAGTAAAAAGTCCATTTGATTACCAATTGCTTTTGAATGCTTTTGGAAATAGCTTTATTTTTGGGTAATTACAACCAGAAGACAAGTATTAATTCTATTTTTAGTAGATAAGAGTGAAAGTTGTTGACAAAATGTTTTATTGCACAGTTCACGATGGCGAAATGGTTTTTAAATAAGGAGATAAGGCAAGTTCATACTTCTTAATTGAACGTGGATAATGCTAGATTATAATAAATAATGAAGTAAAAAAAACGTTAAAAAGTGGTGAAGCTTTTGGAGAACTAGCCTTATTATATAATGCACCAAGATCAGCATCTGTTAAGGCAATAGGAGGTAAAAATAAATACATTTTTAGATTGTGCATTCTGGGCAATAGATAGAAATACAGTAAGAAAAGCAATAGAATCAATTTCATAAAAAGATTATGATTAGAATAAGGAATTCATAAATAAGGTGCAGTTTTTTGGTAAATTAACATTTTACATATAGAATCATTGACTGATGATTAAAAAGCTGCAATACCATCAGCTTTAATAAATTTAAATTTTAAAGCTGGAGAGATTATAGTTAATGAAGGAGATTAGGCAGATTCATTCTTTATTATTAAAAAAGGAGAAATTTAGATATCTAGAGGTGGAAAAGAACTAAGAATAATGAAGGCAGGGGACTCTTTGGGAGAATAAGCATTATAATAGAATTCAGTTAGAGGTGCTACTGCAAAAGCAATTAAAGAAGATGTGACAGTTTTAGCTTTAGCAAGGGATGATTTAACTAGAATATTGGGAGATAAAATACAATTGATTATGTACAGTAATCTTTAAAGATGGGCATTTGAAAGACATGCTGTTCTTAATAAATTGACTAAATTGTAAGTTGAAAGAATTGTGAGTAATATGTAACAGACACAAAAGAAAAGTGAAGAAGTTATAATAGAGAAAGGATAACCTTGTAGAGAGATTATTATTGTACTTTAAGGGTCAATCAAATATGGAAAGGAAGTTTTAGAAAAAGGATAAATGTTTGGAGATAAATTTTTAGATTAAGGAGAAAATGTTAAGTTAGGAGAGCCAGTTGTAATGAAAGATGAAGGAATGATTGCAATAATAACATTTAAATAATTTTTTGAGATTATTGGAGGTTCATTAGAATAAATCTTTGCAAAAAATGAAAAAGCACATGATAGATTTATAAAGAAGGAGGAAGGTCAAAAATAAGATGTTTTTAAACATTTTTAATTGGATCAATTAATTTATGTGAAGAAATTAGGTTAAGGATAATTTGGAAATGTTTATTTGGTTCATAATAAAATAGATAAAAAGATATATGCTTTAAAATGTATTTCAAAGGCTTAAATTATTGAATAAAATCTTGAAAAGCATTTGGCTTAAGAAAAAATAGCTTTGGAAACTGTTAACTTTCCATTAATAATGCATTTCACCCGAAGTTTCAAGGATAATACTTATATTTATTTCTTAGAAGAATATATTAGAGGAATGGAACTTTTTGATGTAATCAGAGATATTGGATTGCTTAATACTTATGATTCTCAATTCTATATAGGATCTTTGATTTTATGTATGGAATATTTACACTTAAATAATATCATTTATAGGGATATTAAACCAGAAAATATAATGATAGATGAAAAAGTATTATCAAAATTTATAAATTATAGGGATTTATGAAATTGATAGATTTAGGAACAGCTAAAAATTTAAAGAGTAAAAATGGTCGAACATACACAATTATTGGTACTCCACATTATATGGCCCCAGAAATCTTAACTGGCAAGGGATACACATATTCAGTTGATCTATGGTCTATAGGAGTCTGTCTGTACGAATTTATGTGTGGTAATGTACCTTATGCAGAAGATGCAGATGATCCGTAAATTTTATTTATAAATGATATTTTAGTTATGAAATTTATGAAGAAATTTAAAAGAAATAGTTAACATTTCCATCAGTATTGAAAGATAGAAAAGCAAAGAAATTAATTGAGTAATTGCTTAGTAAAACTCCAGAACTTAGACTAGGATCATCTTATGCTAGTTTAAAAAATAACTCTTTTTTTGAAAGATTTGATTATGTATTTATAAATTTGAATGATAGGATCTTTTAATTAATAGAGAATTAAAACCTCCTTATTTACCACCTAAAAACAAATTACATAGTGATAAAGATATTTAAAAGGCTATATAAGTAGGTAAATTGATCACTGAAGAAATTAAAGTAATTTTTAATTAGTAGATTAGAATGATCTTGCGACTGCTTAGAATGTTTACAAACCCGAAAAGGCCCGTGACCCTAATTGGGATAAGGATTATTGATTTCTTAGAATTTTTCTTAAAATTATTTTTTTACATTGTTCAAAAATATGATAGCCTTAGTTATTATTATAACATTAGCACATTCCTATTTTGGATTTGAATAATAATTTCTACAAACTCAACTAACAGGCAAATTTAAATACTTAAATCGAGTACTTAGAGATAATAAGAGAAATCCCTAATATACATAAGTAATCATCTTATATCATTATTAGGGATTTACATTCTTGAATGAGGATACCATTTTAGAGTCAGTAGGACTTTATAAAAAGAGTGGAATCCACTATATAAAATTAAATGATGTTAATACATTTTAGCATAACTAAAATTTAGATGATTAGTTCTTTGGTGAAGGATGTGATATTATCAATAATAAAGTCTATTAATTAACTTGGTTAGAAAGAAAAATGTATTCATTAATAAAAACTTTTTTAGATTTGTATACGAAAAAGAAGATTTATAATATATAGGATAAATAAATTTACATCCTTCAATAAAGGAAGGTTGGGGGTTAACTCATCGTGTATTTAATGGAGAAACATAGATTCTAATATCAGATGGATCAGGCAAAATACATATATTAAATGAAGATTTTTAATTGTTGAAATCAATTTAAATTTTTTATGGAAGCACCCCAGTTAATTATCTAAATGAATTAGAATATGCAAATGGAATATTATATGCAAATGAATATACAAAAACATATATCTTTGCTATAGATCTTGAAAAAGGCAAAGTATTGGCAAAATATGATTTCCCAGATCTTGTTAAGGAAGCAAATAGGCCTGATGGATGTTTAAATGGAATTGCATTCAATTAAAAAACTCAGACTTTTTGGATCACAGGAAAAAATTGGCCATTCATATAATAAGTCCAGTTCAATTGATAAGTAAATAAATATAAATTCATTATATCCATTTTTATAATTTTCCTTCTATCCATTCTCCTTCCCTCAAGACATTATTTATTCCTTTATATTTTCCTTTTCCATGTTATTTACCATCCTTCCATTGACCTTTATATACTCTTCCATCAGGCCAATAAAATTCTCCATATCCATCTTTCTTATCATCTACATATTCTCCTATATATTTTCTATGTTATTAATTTTTATTAGTACCTTCCATCAGACCAAGTGAATACCCCTTTTCCTTCCATCTAATTTTCTTTCCAATCACCCTCATATACTCTTCCATCAGCCCAAGAATAGTGTCCCTTTCCATGTATATTATTATTTATAAATTCTCCAATATAACAACTACCATCTGGCCAATTAAATTTACCATGACCATCTTTCATACCATTATTATATGTTCCTTCAAACATAGAACCATCAGACCATTTTTCTAGACCATATCCATGTTATTAATCTTCATACCATTCTCCTTTATAAAATGCTCCATCCTTATGATGATAAATTCCATAACCATGAGCTTTATCATTTAACCATTTCCCTTCATAAAGATCTCCATCTGCATGAATCAATCTTCCATTTCCACAAGCTTTATCCTAAAACCAATATCCTTCATATATAGAACCATCAACCCAAACTTACTTACCTCTTCCATGTCTGAGTCCATTTTTCCATTGGCCATAATAAAATACATTAGGTTCCATTTCGACTGGTCCATAAAAAGGAAGTTATTTAAATTCAAATAGTTCATTTTGATCATAATTAAATTATTATAATCTTTCTAGTAAGGGTTTTGTATTTTAATTAGTAAAATCTGGCATTGATTCTAATATCTTTAGATCTTATCTATAAATAATTAACTATTATTTTACCTAATATGTTATTAAACAATCAAACTAGGATTTTCTGATTTAACTATACTCTAAGATAATTTATTCTTAGGAGTGAGTTATTAAATATTCTCTTAGTTTTCTAAATTTATTTTATTTTTAACCGGTTTTACATTCTCATAAATTGATGGATCATCACAAGTAGCACAATTTCCCATTGAAATTAAAAATAACAGCAATAATAATATTAATTATTTAAAACTTAAAGTAATGCAGCTTATTATAATTAAAAAGAGTTGATACTTCGAATGATAATAATTAATAAAAATTAATAATCATTAATTAAAGATATTTTACAAATATACATTAATTCATCAATTTAATTGGATATTCAATTTCTATTCAAATAATAAGGCTATATAGAAATTAATTATTTTTAAAATAAATACTAGAATTGTAATTTTGAAAATTAATCAATTACCATATCATATTTGAAATAAGGGAAATATTAAGTTTTTAATTGGATAAAAAAATCTAATTATTTTTAATTATAGAAATCTTATAAATGGAATACAATTTTATGATTAAATAAATAAATTGATAATTCTATTTTAATAAAATTTTTATATCTATAATCTTAATAAGTATAAATAATTTTAATGAACATTGAAGAAATTCGGCATTTATATTCAATTTAAATATTATGTTTATATAATCTTATTAAAAAATTTATCAAACATTATAAGAAATATATTAATTATATATATAGACTATTATTATTAAGTAAATAATTGTTTTATAGATTGTATAATTATGAATTATAAAATTAATTGATATTATAAACAAGTATAATATGGATAAAAATCAAAAAAATTTAACTATTATATTATTCATATACATATTTATTCAATTCTATGTTTGTTAATTAAATGTTAATTTTATTGATAATCGAAACAATATTCCTTGTTGCATATTTATGGTATGTAATACATAGTCATGCTTCAAAACAAGTGAATTTCTATGTTAAAACCTTAACATTAATCTCTTGGTTGATTTCATTTAGTTTGGTAATAATCTTACCATTGGACATCTACAAAGTAAATGTTGAATGATAATTAGAATGAATAAAATTTGGAGGATACTAAAATAGAAATTATTTGGGTTGTTTTATATTGGGTAACATTTTTATTAACATGGTAATTTTAATTGTATTCTATATTATAGGTTTTTTCTTCCAATTACTTTAGACTATGAAGCTGCAGGAGAATTCACTTTTAAATAAAAACTTATTAAAGCAATAAAAATAAATTTGATAACCTATGCAATATTTGGTGTTTTAGGATTCGGATTTACAATATATTTGCTAGTTGAGAAATCATTTACATTTCAGGCTTTGTTAGCATTTACAGTAGTATTGAGTAATGCATTGTATTAAATTAATTAATCTTTAGAGGATTATTGATTGTTACTTTTCTATTAGGATATGCAATAGTTGCTATTCCAAAATAATATTTTAGAGAAAGCAACCATCAAATATAACTAAACTTAAAATATCATTAAATAAATAAGACTAAAGAATTACTTGAATAAGAATTGTTAGATCTTGATGATTTATTAATTGAAATTTTATCTTATGAATCAAAATACAAATACAATGAAGAATATCAACCTTATGTTTAAAAAATACTTGAATTATTTACAAAAGATTAGATAGATTCAGCAAAACTAAGTCGATAAAGGGGTAAAAATGATTAAGGTTTAGAAGATATGAATCTAGATAAATTTGCTGAGATTCATAAAAGAGCAAAGGAATTATCATATGATTGTGTTAGAAATTCTAAGAAATTGGAAATATTAACTTCATAAGCTCTATTTATAGAAGATATCATAAATTGTGATAATAGAGAAAAGAAAATAACATCAGCAATAAGACCATAAAGAATTGGTTGCTTTGGAAATTTTATTGATAAATTATAATATTATTGGTATGTCAAATTTTGGAAAATTATTATGTACAGTGCTGCAATAATTTTTATTTGTCTAGGTGGTTTAATTACATTATCAGAAATAGCAATATTTGGTAATCTTAAATTTAATATTTTCATATATTTTATAAATGATGAAGAAGATTTTTATGCAGTTTAAATACTAGTATTAATTCCTTTGCTTTTTGTATTATATTGTGTATAGTATGGTCTTTTAAGTATAAGATTAAATAGATATGGATTTTATGATTATGGGTTTACTGATGGACCATCTTTAATCTTTTCAGCCACTTTCATTTCAAGAATTGCTTTTCCTTTAGCTTTTAATTTTTTTTGGATGTTTAATGAATCTGATGCAGATATTGCAAATGTTGTTGGAAATTTCAATTTTGATTAATATTTAAGTAATAAATTGATATTAATAAATAGCCGAATTCAAATTAGCATTTCCAATTTTATTAGTAATTTTGATAATTTGTAATATATTTGACATATATGATAAATTATTAGGAGCATTAGGATTTTAAAGATTTTAATTTGAAATTGGATTTGCAGATGAACATACCGAAGAAGGTCAAGAATATGTTCAAAAATTTAGATAGTAATTATCAAAGGCTTAAGCTCCAGGTTAAGATCTTAAGCAACCTTTTTTATGATTTATTTTTTAAGAATGTCATATAAAATATTATAACTATTAATATGATAATGAATGCGTGGAAGGTTATTTTAAGTTAAAATTAAAGAATTGATGGAATTTTGTCATTAATATTATTTAATTATGTTAATTTCTAAGACCGAAAATGAAGAGTAAGGTGAGACAACAGTTAATTCAACATAACCTGTATGTCCTAATTGTGGTGCTGCAAGGGAAAGTATATTATAATAAGTGCCATCTCCAGCTTCATTTATAATTTCCTTTGTTTCTTTATTTTATTTTGGAATTTGGTGCATATTTATCATCCCATTAGTATTTTAATCAACAAAAGTATATAAAATTAATAAATGTTTAAGATGATAATAAAGAGATGCTACTATTGTAATTAGGAATTAGAAAAAAGAAAATATTTTTAATTACCAAATATTAATGATTAAGTATTATAATTTAGATTTGGCAATTGTTTTGTAGTAGTATCTAGAAAATATGCTTTAATTTTATTGACAATTATTATCTCTTTATTTTTTTATTTTGAATATTTTACAGAATAAGAGCATCCTTAAATTGAAGCAAATGTCTATTCAAATAAATCATGGGTTGATTTCTTATAATTTTGTGGTAAATTTTAATTTGTTGATAATGGTTTGAAAGCAAGGCATTAATTTGAAACCTATTTTAAGAATAAAATAGTATCATGGAAAGGGTATTTTATAAAAAATTAATTTTAGTGATTATATACAAACTAAACCTAATCATGATCAAAATTTTCATTACAATTATTGGGTTTATTTAAAGATGGATCCAACAGAATCAACTGAAGATTTACCTGATATTATTATAGGTGTAAATGAATCTTAATATTCAATTTAAATATTTTAAAAATTAGAAAAGGGTAAACCAATTCATTTTGAAGCAAAATTTTTATTTTTAGGATCTGAATATAACTTTCATATTTTAGAATTAAAAAATCTTACTGTGATACCAACTGAACTTGTAGAAGATTTAAAAAACCTTAATTAATTCACTTTAGATATGGACTAAATACAACAATAAAAGAGAGCAAAACTATCAGAAACACTTAAACATAAGATTCATATGTATAATCCAAAATAATTTTCTGGAATTAAGAAAATTATAGAAAATATCCAAATGGTAAATAGTACAACTCAATCAAATACTAATTAAGATGATAATATTAAAAATGTGGAAATAACAAAAGAATAATAAAATAAAAATAATGAAGATAACAATAAAATTGATAATGAAACAATAAATTAATAGGATGAATAAGAATAATTATTTGATCCATCAAGTGTAAATATAAAAATAGATGAATCAATAAGAGAGGAAATTCTTTAAAAGGATTCAGGTATAGTAGATGGAGTTATTGATGATGATAATAAAAACCCAACCACTTAAGATTGATGATTAAATTTTAATAAATTATTTATATCAAAAAATTGTTTTTTCTTAAGTATTGGATTGAATGAATTTAAGAATATAAACATTTAAAATATACAATTACAGAAAATTATTTCATTCAATGAAAAGTTACTTCCAAATTAATGAATAGGTTTCATAAACAGAAAAGATTATCTTACCAGATGATACTCCAATGAGAAATAGACCTAATACCATAACAACTATGAAAACAACATGGCTCACTTTTCTTCCATATGCTTTTATCAAGTAAATTACTTAACCTGCTAATATCTATTTCATTGTTATTGGGATATTACAAATAATTCCTGTTACTTCTTATACTAATGGTGTACCTACTATTTATGGACCTTTGTCAATGATGATTAGTATTAGTATAATTAAAGATGCCTTTGAAGAATATTCAAGGTAAATACTCTTATTAAAATAGATATAAATCTGATTAAGAAGAGAATAAACGTAAATCACACAAATACTTTGAAAATTAATTTATAGAGTGTTGTTGGAAGGATATATATTAAGCAGACATTATCTTAGTGATGGAAAATGAAAGTATTCCTTGCGACATTTTAATATTGTCATCTAGTTATTAAGGAGGTATAGCATATGTGGAGACTAAGCAAATAGATGGTGAAACTAATTTAAAGCAAAAATATTCAATCTATGATTTATAACAAAAATATCACATTGATAATGCAATAAACTTTGTATTTATATAGTAATTAAACAGAAGTAAAAAGATAACAGTGTTAAATTTGTATACGATTAAAAGAATCCAATATTATATAAATTATCAGGGACTTATCAAATTAGTAATTCTGATGTGGATTCATTAAACTATGGTAATTTTATTGAAAGAGATTGTATCCTAAAAAATACAGAATGGATAATAGGTTTATGTATTTATAGTGGTATGGACTGTAAAATAATGTTGAATTCCTCATAAGAAAGAACAAAAAGAAGTAGATTAGAATAATATATGAGAATTTGTATAATGTCTATATCAATAAGTTTGGCATTATTTTGTATAATGGCATCTATCTATGAATTCTTATGGACTAACAATCATCTTAATTATTCATATTTGGGATTATCTAAAGATAATGTATTTGTAGATCTAGGTTTATGGTTTTCATTACTTTCATATTTTATACCAATATCTTTAGTTGTAAATGTAGAATTAGTAAAATTTGGTCAAGCTAAAATGTTAGAATCAGATAAAGTTATGCCAAATTCAAAATCACATTAATCTAATTTAATTGAATAATTAGGAGAAATAAATATTGTTTTCACTGATAAAACAGGTACATTAACTAAAAATTCTATGTAATTTAGAGAATTATTTGCATAAAATGAAAAAGAAGCTTTATTATGTTTGAGTTTATGTCATTCTGTTGTAAAATCAAAAAATAAATTGATAGGATCTTCTCCTGATGAATTAGCAATATTAGATTATTGTGAATAAAAAGGTTATTTATTTTAAGGCATCGATAATAATAATAATCTTACTATAAATAAAACTTAATTTCATAGAGTAATGAATTTTGATTTTAGCAGTGAAAAAAAGAGAATGACCATTGTTGTCAAAACAGGAAATGAATATATATTATTTTGCAAAGGAGCTGATGAAGTATTACTTGAATTAATAGGAGAATGTAAACATTAACAAGTCATCCATCAATATGCAGTCAAAGGATATAGAACCTTAATGTTAGGCAGAAAAACCTTTAATTAAAATGAAATTGATATCTATTTAGCAGAGTATTACAATTTATTAAAATTATAGTTATAAAAAGGCATAAGAGGATAAAGATGATGAAATGATGAACAAATTATAAAAAACATTAGAGTCTAATTTAGAATTTTTAGGAATTACTGCTGTTGAAGATTTGTTAGCTGATGATGTTGGATAAACTATTTAAGATTTAAAGTCTGCAGGTATCAAAGTTTGGGTTCTTACAGGTGATAAAGTTGAAACTGCAATAGCAATAGGATATTCTTGTAATTTAATTGACAGCAAGGATATGCTTTAAGTAGTTACTGAAACAACAGTTGGAAGTATTGAGGAAGTATTTTTGCATTATTGTAATGAGTCAGCTAATATTGCATTGGTGATTAGCGGATAAGCATTATCAGTAATGTTAGATAATCCATAGCTTAAATCAATGCTTTTAAAAAGAGCTTTCTATGCCAAAGTGGTCATTGTCGCCAGAGTATCTCCAAAACAAAAGCAATAAGTTGTAGCTTTAGTTAAAGAGAATCTCCCAAAGGCATATACTTTGGCTATAGGTGATGGAGCTAATGATGTTTCTATGATTAATGAGGTAAATTCAATGATTTAATTCAAGGCTCATGTTGGAGTTGGAATTTAAGGAGTTGAAGGTACATAAGCAGCAAGAGCAGCAGATTTTGCAATATAAGAATTTAAACATCTTAAACGATTAATGTTCTATTATGGAGTTGAGTGTTCAAGAAAAAATGCACTTACAATTCTATATATATTTTTTAAAAACTAGGTGTTTATCACTCCTTATTTTTGGTTTGGATTCCTTAATGGCTTTAGTGGATAATACTTATATGATCAATGGTTGTCTTAATTATTTAATACTATTTTTGCTTCTCTACCTTAGGTACTATATGCTCTGTTTGATGAAATGCATCCTTCTTCTGAACATTTCTAATGGAGTAAAACAACACATAATATACTTGAAGAGAAACCTGATGTCTATGTTTAGTTTAGATAATAACCAATTTTTACAATTATTAAATTTTGGCTTTGGGTTTTTAATGGAATGGTTTAAGGTTTGATAATATTTCTAGTCTGTACATTTTCAACTGAGAACTAAAACATGGACAATGGTAAGACAATGGAATTTTTTGAAGATGGAGTATTTATATATGGAATAGTCATTCTTCTTGTTAATCTTAAAGTACTAACTTTTACATATACTAATTATAACTTCACCATATTTTTCATTGTACTATCAATTCTTGCTTATTGGCTAATCTTGATTATAGTGAATGATTATGAGTTATCTCCCTCATTTAATTTTTACAGATATCTTATTTCGTATATATTTAATTATATATTCTAGACCATAACTATATTTAGCTCTAGCTTTAACTTGTATGCTATTTTTATTCGATTTGGCAATTGAGAGATTTTATGATTTTTAGATCTATGTTCGAAAACCAGAATCAATAGAATTAGTTTGATTTGTTAAATTTAAATTGTATATTTTAATATATCAAATTATGTATTAAATCAAATAATATTTACTTTACAATCTGCAAAGAAACAATATTCAGAATCATGATTACGAAAGAGAACAATAATTTCTTTACCAGCTAATTTTCCATCTATTTTTCCTTATCCTATCCCCTTCCCATGTTATAATGATATATTTCCAAAAGTCACTACACCCAATATTTTTCGTTTCTATTATATTTCTGATAGTCTTTTTTCATATTGTAATATTTCAACTCTATTACTTATTTTTGGTTTTTCATCCTTTGTTCTTTCTATATGGATTTTATATATTTTATTTTTTAAGAGTTCAAAATCTTATTCTGTTGGTTATAGGATTAATGCTTGTTTATTAGGTACATTTTTATATGCAATTAAATGACAAGAACACCAAGATGGATATAATGAAAAATCAAATTGAAATGGATATGGAAATTGTAAAGCTAAATAATTAATTTTATTAGTGCTCTTAAGATATTTTTCAATAAGATCCTCATTCTCATATTCATTAAATAATAAATTATTTTCCAAACATATTTAACGAATATCACGTAAACCAACAGGTTTTAATTTTAATTAATTGAACAATCTCCACACTATTAATCCTCCTCCCAAATTAATAATCAATTTGTATCCAATATCAATTTGTTTCTTTTACTAATTTGATGGTGGTATAATTAAAATCTTTATTTGAACATCCTTAGGTTTTAATGTAGTATTATATTAATTCTTTTAAATTTCTTCTTAAATTAAAGGATTTTATTCTTAAATATCAGGTTATTCTATTTAAATTTCTTGATTAGGTTTCTATTCTGTTTCATTTTAATCATATAATTCAACACTTATATCATTCTCATTTTTATCCATCTAATTTAATAACCATCTCATTGCTTTTTTTTTTTTCATAACATCAATTTGTACTTATGGTACAACTTATTATTATGATTATTATTTTTATCTAATCTCTAAAAGTGTTTTAAATATTTATTTTTTGCTTCTCTAATGTGTATATCTATTTCTTGTATCTATTTTAAATCTCTTCATAAATTAATTTTAATCTATATCCCAAACTGATCTATTTATGTCTTCATCCCCTTTATTTTCAAATGTTTCATACATGTCTTTCATCTCTTCATCATAATCAGCAAGTGTCTTAATTTTTCTACCTTTTTTTGTAGTAACACTTTATATTTTCTCATATTAATAATTAAAACTGAAATATTTATGTGTTTGTCCATCTATTGAACAATTAAAAATGTTTAATAAAGAATTAACAATTGATAAGGATTCTCTTCCAATTATTTAAAAAATATTGTATTTATTATTATGAACAACAAAATCGGTATCTGGTAATTCTTAAGGATGTATAATAGTGTGATCATCAACAATTAATTCATTTTCTAGATTACCCTCAACAATTTAATAATATGAAGCATCAAAAATCATACTACCATGATCAAAATATCTATGAACTGCTCTGAAATTTTTTTCATTTGCTTTTTCTGGTACTTTAAATCCACAATAATTAATCATTTTCATTCTCTTGACCTAATATAAGTGAGTTTCCATCCATAAAATTTTATTTGATCTATTCATAAAAATTAAATCTCTTCTTTTTCTCAAATGTTTTCGACATTTTGGTATTTTTTACCTCATGTCTCTCTCTTCTAATCCTGGAGCATACATCTTTTTTCTTAACTAATTATAAAAATAATGATCTACTGAACTAGGTATACGATATCGATTATGTGACATGGCTCTTCTTCTCATGTGCTTATGGATCACTTAAAATGGCTAAGCTGTAGAATTTAGAAATTTGCTTTTAAGGGCATTTTACAATTAAGCTATTTCATTAGCTCTGCTTGCTAAAAATGGTGCAAATTAGATAATTCTTTCCTCCATATTATTAGAAAATATAAAATAATTTAATTATTTTTAAATTGATATTAAATTAATAACTATTTTTTTAACCTCTAAAATGGAGTATTTAAGAATATATTACAATATCTTGATGACTATAAATGTAATGTTAGATTATCATTCTTCAATTATTATCATTAAAGACCAATATGATACCTTAAAAGTTAGGCATAAAATAAATTATTATCTTTATGATCATTTAGATAATATAAATATTTACTCATCCATTATGTTGTTCTTGGATTGAAGTCTTTAAATTATTTATTTTCAACACCATTTAACCAAATTATGATGGAAATAATTTAATTCTTCTTGAAATTATAGTACTATGATCTAGATTTTACTGAATGATAAATATTACTTATCGACCCTAAAATTGGTACTGAATTTGACAATCTGTTTCTTTTTTTAAAATTTTTAAGTCCTTGGTCTCCATTTATTATCACAAAATAAAAGGTATTTTATTCATTAATATTGATAGTTGAGAATTGTTTCTATTTTCTTAAGGTGCAGCCCATTTGATAAAATATTTATTATGTGGTTGTTCATATTAAATTGTTAGAAAAATCTTTAGAAAGATATTATGTAGTGCATTATAAATCGGAGAATAAATATTATCATTTGAAAATAAAAATAACTAGCCCCCTATTGTTTTAATTATCAACATTATCTTTAAACACGCTAAATCAATCATTAGCTATGAGAAATGAATATTTTAATGAGAATTTAAAATTATGATAGATATGTTATTCTAATTATAAAAATCAATTACTTTTATATTAATGGGAAATTCATAAATTAATTAATATTGATAAAAATGAATGTTGAGGAAGAAGATCTAAATTTTCTTAAAGGTATTTTATTTCAAAATTTCTATCAGCTTAACCTCTATGGACTGGCTGTAGAAACACACCTTATTTAATACGAGCAGGAATCAATATTGATAAATGTTTGATTTGTATTTTTGTATTTAAAATAAAGTTATCACAAATCTAAGGTAATCTTGGATTTGTAAACTCAATAAAGACCGTATCTAAAAGGATAAAGAATTATACAACAAATCAATTTAAACTACAAATTTTTAAGGAGTTTTAGATCTATTAGATTTAGCTTTAAAATATGATCCTTAAGCAGAATACTCCTTTAAATTAAATGAGTCCTCTTTGTATTATGGCTATAGTAATGTAATCAAGATATACACTCTAACATGGGTGTTCGATTGTAAAATTGTGGATGACCAATTTCATAATAAAATTCTGATAAATGATATTGTAAATCCTTTATTGTTAACTATCCAATCTTTAGAAAATAGATGCAATAATTATAAAACAGCATTTTCATAATTAGAGTAGGATTATGTAAAAAGATTGAATGAAAAGGAAAGAGCCTAATATAAAGTTAGGGATAAAGATGATGATTTAAGTGTATACATTTTAGATGATCAAATTGATTAAGAGAAAATATGTTAAATAAACTTTACTCCTATTGCTAATTATTTCATTTAATATTATGCCATTAATAAAGTGAATAAAACATTATAATAATTGAAAAAAAGATAACCATAACAATAAAATAAAAATGACAATACTTCTTAAAATTTACATAAAAGTATATTAAATATTTAAATTATTTAGAGGAACAACTTTGGTAAAGTTATGAAAATACATTATCTGATATGTTTGAAGGAAAAGGATAATAAATCATAGAAAATGATAAAAATGAATAAAAATAAGACCGTAGTAAAAACACTAAAAAAAAAGCAGGATTTTTATGATTATATTTTATTTATTATATCAACTGTTAGCTGTTAAGACATAACTTTATTAGTTTTTTTAAAGGAATTTGTATTGATATTCTTCTATGCACTTTTAGTTTTCAGAGTATTCAATTGTTTTTCCTATTCAAATATAAATATTTTAATACCATTATAATCCATTTCATCAAAAAGAATCACTTTAGCTCCAGCTGGTACTTAAATTGATTTAATTTTGCTTGGATATTTAGCTAATTGGAAATTAGGTAAGTCTTCACACATATTAAATGATTTTCCTATATAATTTCATATAAATATATTAATTACCTGTATAATTACATTCTGTATAAAGAGTAGCACAAGCATCTGGTTTTTCATAAAATAATTTAAATCCTTTAAGTGCAAATGAAGCATTATCATTATTTTTTCCAATAGTTGTTGATATTACTAAATCTAATGTAGATGCTTCATGTCCCATAACAAAATCAACAATAGCATAATTTTCAAATCCATCTCCACCACAAATATCAGCAAGTCCAGGATCTCCAAATCCAAATGTTCTTTTCCAAACACTTAATCCATCTACTTTAACAATATAATCTTCTCCATTCCAATTATCAATTTTCCATGCTTCAAATGCAATTCTAATTCTTTTATGAGCAGGTAAATTGAATTTTCTTGAAATTTTAGCATCTTTTCCTGTTTTTTCATAACCACCAAAGAATTTGAATTCTCCACATGTTGATGTAAAATCTGGTCCATTTTTACCATCACTTACTTTCCAATCCTCATTAGCTGTCCAACTAGAACCTTAAAATTCTGATGTAAATTCAACCCAATCTCCTTTTAATATACAACCTGAACCATTTCCATCTTCTGGATCCAATAATATATAAGGAGAAACACAAGCTGTACAATCTTCAGCACTAGGTCCAGTACATGTTGCACAATTACTAGAACATTATGCAACATAAAGTTGGAATTATCTTATACCCCAAGATGCTTATTTTGATGACTTTCTAGTTGTGGATGTCCATTTTACAAGTGCAGCACCATAATTATGAGGAGATTCAAAGTTTACATTAATAATCTTTTCTGTTCCATCAACACCTCCTGGAGTAATCTTATCACAAATGAAGAATTCTTTATCTTCTACTTAAGCTACATTTTATTTCCATTTTTCTTAATTATCAATATACAAAACAGCATTATCATTATCCCAATTATCAATCTTCCAAAATTATGCTATCACTTTAATTCTATAATGTGGTGCAAGTTTATCAAATATTTTTTAAATTGAAACATTATTACCAAAATTACCAGGACCACCAATAATTGGAATTCCTGCACAAGTACTTGTTTTAATAACATTAGAAGATCCTTTTGCACTCCATCCATCAGCTTCTATAGTCTTAATCCAGCTTGATGATACTGGTACCCACATTTAACATACAATTGCATCTGGTCCAAGACATGTACCACATTCAGCTGGACATGGCAAATAAGATAATTTCAAGTTTCTAAAACCCCATGACATCTAAAGATTATTAAAAAGATTATACTTTATCAGCTGATTTATCAGCTGAAGATGCAAATGCAATAAATAATGCTGCATGATTATGAGTTATTGTTTAATCAACTTAGAATGAATTTACATTACCACCCGCTGGAGTTGCACATCTTTTTGTTCCATCACTACCAGTCCACATTGTTTCCCAAAGGTAATTATCCAAATAAAAAAATTATCTTTAAGTGTCCCATGCATCAAATCTAGATTTGTAAAATTGCTATACTTCCAGACCTCAACAGATATTTTAATCTAAAAATGAGGAGGCAATTAAAATTATTTGGTAACTATTGCTCCTTTACCAAATGCTTTAGGTCCTCCAAAAACAGAGGCATCTGAACAAGTAAAGAAATTATCAGCCTATGCTTTTGACAATGACCCTTATATTGTCCATCCATCTAATTAAGCTACATCTGAATTTTAAAATGCAGAGTAAAATTCTATGAATTCTTGTGATGTTGCTAGCATCACCAACATAGCTAAGGCAATGAATTTCATTATATATTAATAATCAAAAACGTATATTTTTTTTATATTTATTCATATTGCTCTTTGAATTTCATTATTATTTCTAATTTAGCTTTAATAAATCTACTCATCTCCATACTATTCTTTACTACTTTTAGATTAATATTCAATTTGATTACTTATTTTTTAATTATAATTATGAGTTCTTAATGTTTTACATTAATTTTAGTAATTTTATTCTCTAATATCTTACTGTAAAAAATATAATAAAAATTAAATGAGATTTTAAGTTATAAATAACATACATAAGGTCATTTCTTTTATACTTTTCTTATTGTATGATCTTAATTTTTCATCATTCCTGCCAAAATTTACTATTCCCTTTTTTTTTAATTTATATCCATCTTAAGTATATTCTATTTACTAACATGATCAATTTATGATGTATTTTATTTTCCTCTCTCAATTGATGAACTTATATTTTAAATTGCATAAGATTTATTAAGAGATGGAAGTTATTTTATAACATTATAATTTTTTCTTTACTCAAAAGAGTTAGGATGAATTAATTATTTATTTTTTTCTTTTTATATTATTTGAGATGGTTCATTTGTAGGTAAAGCAGGATTAATCAATTAAACTTCATAAAATTCCTATTTTTTCTATAAAGATAATGTATCTTTTTAAAAAATTAATTTTCCCTATTAATTCAATGGATTTTGTATTATAGATATATGTTCAGTTTAGCCTTATTTGCTTCTATATTTTTAGTAAGGATATTAGGAATATTTTATCCTTTATCCTTCTTAATATTAATTTATAAATTCTTATTTCTTCTTTATTCCTTATTCACTTATCATATACTCTTTTAAATAAACTGCATCATCTTGATCTGTTAGATCTTCATCCAACAGTAATCTTCTAGGGTCAAAATCATTATCACTATTTCCCAAATCCTCCCATCTAATAGAATAGCTTTAATTAGTATTTTATTAAACTTTAGTTCGCTTTTGAATATCTTAAATTTAATTCAATTTAGAAATTTGAAAAGAATCCTAAATTCTTTGACTTTCAATTGTTGGTTTATTTACTATTGAAGGGAGTATTTTTTTAACCTCCTATTTAGTAATTATAGTTTCTTGGCCTTAATTACGTGATTGATTCATATCTTAAATTTTAGTGAGCTTTTTGTTGTAGATTTCTGGATCATGTATACCTAAATATAAATAAAGTGCATTTATAGAATTAGAAACTGGAAAAACAGTATCTGCTATTTTTATTAAAGAGTATAAAAATTCTGAAAAGCTTAACTATTAGATTCCAGAGCATTTTATAAATATTTCCTCTAGTATTTATTTTGTAATAATGAATGAATCTTTTACTCTATTTTTATATTTTATTTTGTATAAAGGTTTTTAGCTTTTAGGACCAGCATATTTTTCTATAAATTCATTAGTTACTAACAAATCTATTAATTAAAAATCTCTGCAAAAATGCATAAATTAGTGTAAATTTAAACACTATTTTTTATCAAATATTTATTCCTTTGTATTTGTATGCAATTTAATTGGAGTTTAGAATTATTTTGTATAAAATATAAAGATTTCATTTAAATTAGTCTCCATTATCTAATTATATAATTTCTCATTCCTTTTTTATTTTAATAATTATTCTGGTAAAATACTTTTATCTATTGATGGATCTCCTGATTAAATATTTGAAGTTCCAGATTTTGGAGATTTAATGATTGATTTAAGCTTTTCACCTTATTAGGAACCTTTCTAAATTTTTTAAATATTTTATTCTAATTCATTTCCTCTTTGTTATTCAAATTTTATATCTGAAGTTTCTGTTGGAATTTATTTAATCAAGGTATTAACTGATACTTATTTTATATCTTTATCTTCTGAATTATTGTTAATTTGAGAATAATTTTTATCTTCTATTTAATCCTTATTCGGTTCTTAATTCTGTATAGGTTATATTACATCAATCTTTGTTTCATATTAAATTATTTTCTATTCTTTTTAATCAATCTCTTAATGTTAAATTTATTATTCATTCTACTAATTTTCAATGTTATTTTTTTAGTTTTATTCTTGAATAATGAAATTAAAGTCTTCATCTTGGTTCTCTTATTCTAATTCATTATTTTATTAAGAAAGAACATTCTAGATGGATGATGAGCTTAAATTCTTAAAATGAGAATTATTGATTTATTAATTTTCATCATCTTCATCTTAAGATTGTAAACTTTGAAATCTATTTTCTGATGTTAATGGGTTTTAATATTATTAGTTGATTTATTAAGATTCTTCAACCAAATGTGTATTTTCCATAAAGAGTGTATATTTTTATCTATTAAATTTTATCAAATAATTGAAATTTATGATTATTCATTAGTTTTTTATGATTTTTCATCAAATGAAATATTAATTTAGAAACCTAAATTTAGAGCTGAGCAAATTTTCAATGTGTTATATCAATAATATCTTTTGAAGTATTTCAATATTAAATTATACATTTTGAACTAATTTATGTAAACTTAATATTATTTAATTTCTATTAAGAAACCTATGTAATAAAGTAATATAATAAGATTAATTTGATGGTATATTAATTTTTATATATTTAAAAATAATTTATCCAATTTTAAGATGATTAACATTTATAGTTTAAATGAAATATAAATAATACAAATACATAATGACTAAATCCTAATTTTTTCAATTACTTTTCCATATATAAATGAAAACTATTTTTATATATAGATATCAAATTCATATTCTTAAAGATAATATATAATCATTTATATTTTAAAAATTTATTTTGATTTATTATTTATGATAATGAAATATTATTTTTGTTATATATAATTGATGAAATAAGTGAAAATAATTTTCTAGTAGCTTTTTATTAACTCTTAATTGTTCTTCAATTTTTGATATTTCCTTTATTAAAAATGAAATTTAGTTATCTTAATAACAATTGTAAGATCTGGTTGGGAGTTTTAAAAATGTTGTAAATATAGAAAATAGATATAAAGCTGAAACAATAAATGAAGCCATCTATATTCTAATAACATGCATAAAAATATTAAAATTATGATTTAGTATAATATTAATTTATTATATAAAATATTTAACATCTTTAATGAAGAAGCTTAGTAATTAGATGTAAAAGATTGTTGCCAGAAATAGTTTTTAAGACTCCCCATAAAAATTAGAAAAGAAAAATATTAAAACCATTACTGGAACAGTAAAAACAGAGAGACCTATAGAAAAAGCAAAAGCAAAATTACTTGATTATTTTAAGAGGGAACGAAATTCTTTGGCTTAAGAAACTAATAAAATGAGATCTAAATTATAAGGTAGTAAAAGTATTGATAATGTATATCTGCAAACATTAAAAAGTGATAGAATCAAAACTTCATAACCTAATGTAATTTGAAGATTATTAAATTTGAATAGATAGCTGAAATGCGTGTTCAAACAGAAGAGAGTTGTAATTCCAAAAAGGGAACTCTTAAAAACAAGAATCTATCATTAGCTGCAGTATCGTTAGAAGTATTAAAAACAAGATTATTATTTAGAAAAAAGAATTGGCTAAACATCCTGTAACAACTAAAACTTCATATAATTAGACTCCTACAAATATAAATAAACCATAAAAAAAAAAATAACAATAAAAAGACTAATACTTATTCGATATGGTAAAATAATTAATATATTAAAGTTGAAAAATGCTTAAATGATTTAAAACTAATATTAAAAGTACTTTAATTAAAAATTAAATAAATAATCTATTATTTCAGATGCATCCACTAATCAGAGATAATCAATAGATGATATTTTAATCAATTAAAAAGTCACAAAAGGTACTTCACAAATAATACAGTCCAAAATAATCAGAAAAACAGATAATGAATAAAAATCTTTAAATTAAGGAAACTCAAAAACAGAACAAACTCCTTAACCCAAACAAAAAACGAAAACAAAAAATGAAGATATATTAGAGTATGATCCTAAATAAAAACTTTAGATAATTTTATATTACAAAAATTAAAAGTAATAAATTATATTAATTTTAATAGATATTATTACCTTTTTGAGTATGCTAATTAATCTACATGTGATCTCTTTAATTATTTGATTTAATAAATAGCTAGCATTGAAAAAAACTATGTACAATAAGATGGAGGTACAGGTTCTACAGATGATGATTAAATATAAGCTGGTATTATTTGAATTTTATTTTAGAGATCAAAAAAATTTGCTAATTTTGCACAATACAAAAAAAAGTTCCTTTTGATTATTACTTATCTATCCCTGATATGAGTTTGTCAGTATTTTAAGGAAATACGCTTTCGTTATAACCTATGTATTCATAACCTTAAACTACAAAAAAAGTTGGCTTAAAAGATTTTTAATTAATAAAATGTATAGGTGTTGGAGGTTTTTCAAGAGTTTATTTAGTTAGAAAGAAAGATAATGGTATATTCTATGCATTAAAATTGATTGATAAAAAATTTATTATTGACAATAAAAAAGAAATTATTGTATAAAATGAAAGGGATATAATGGTTAAAATGAAGAATCAATATATAATACCATTGCATTATGCATTTGAATCAAAGTTTTATATTGCATTTGTTTTAGAATATTGTGCAGGAGGTGAGTTATTTTATCATTTAAGAAAATTGAAAAAGTTAAATGAATAAGATGCTAAATATTACTTTGTTGAAATTTGTATAGGAATGGCTTATCTGCATTCTTAAAATATTGTATATAGAGACATCAAACCAGAAAATATCTTATTAGATTTATAAGGCCATTTAATGTTAAGTGATTTTGGACTCTCTAAACCTGGTATGTCTGCTGAAGATTTTGCTTATTCATTTTGTGGTTCTCCTGAATATATGGCTCCTGAAATGCTTATGAAAACAGGTCACAATTATTTAGTTGATTGTTATTGTTTAGGAGCATTATTATATGAATTAGTTTCAGGTCTACCTCCTTATTATTCTCATAATACTTAAGAAATTTATAATTCAATCTTAACAGAAACCATTTAATTTCCTGATTATGTTTAAATCTCAAATTAATTAAAAGATTTAATACTTTCCCTTCTTGAAAAGGATCCTACAGAAAGATTAGGATAAAAAGAAGGCGTTATTGAAATTTTAACTCATCCTTGGTTTAATGATGTTGATTTTGAAAAAATTATTAATCGATAATTACCAACTCCTTATAAACCAGAATCTTTAAAATATAATTTTGATGAAGAAGAGTTTAACAAAGGTGATGCAGAATTTAGGAAATAGTTTGCAATCAATATGTTAAATGAATTTCAAGTAATATTATTATAATTAATTTTTTAAAGAATGTTGATACAGCAAAATATTAATTATCAAACTTTTACTATTAAAGAGATTAATAGGAGGAATATAATAATAGAAATTACATAGTAAATGTCAATAAATTGTAAACCCAATTTTTATAAAAAGAGCCTATATCTCCACCAAAATAAATAATAAATAAAACTAAGGTATTATAGAAATACTTTATATTTTAGCATTCTCCTTAAGAAAGTAAAAAGTCTTTAAAAGCAAATATAAAAAGTGAAACTCATGATTATTTTAAGAAGCATAATCTTTTGACTAAGTCTTCTTAAATAATGTAAGATTCTCTAAAAACAAGTCATGGTTATTCAAAAACATAATAAAATTCTCAAATTTCTATTTAAGAATTAAAAGTAACTTAAATCTATATATTTTAAGAAACTGAAACTTCTATTTGATTAATCAAAACAATTATTAAGTTCAGACAGATTAACAACAATCCCTGATTAAAATCAAAAGAATTAAATTGAAAGATTTAAAACAGAATAATTTTGCAATTTACCATCTCCTAAAACAACTACTCATAGTACTGTTAACAAATTAAATAAATATTAGAAGTTATTTGGATCAGAAAAAAGAAAAAAATGATATCAATTTAAATATCTTAATTTAAATTGTGTTTATAAAAAAAAAACAATATTTTCTAGGATGTACTATTATTATGCAATTTAATGTATTGATGATGGAAATCATTTCTTCTTCTATTCGATTTTCTTAATGTAAAATTCTAATTCTTTTCCTTCCAAGATATAACCATCAGCTCTTCCTGATTATCCTGGTCTTGATGTAATTCTGACTAACAATCTTTGATTGGCAAATTATTCTTAGACAAATTAATCAATAACATTTTCCTTAATTCTTTTCTCTTATTTTGAACTTAATTTCTTAGGTTAATCTCCTGTTGTTTCCTATTATTATAATAATAATTAATTACCTTCTTCTTCTTTGATCCCAATTCAACATTGTATTTCTTAGCATACCATTATTTGAATGGAGTAGCATCAACTTAGACAATGACACCTCTAGTTAAAGTTTTGGTTCTGACCAATTCATTATTGGATGGATGATAAACCACCTCAACAATTTTAGCTTTTTTAGCAACACCTTGGCTTCCCCAAGAGAAATTGCCTTCTGATAAACGGAGTGCTCTGAATTTGAAATTTCCTCCTCTCACTCTTAATCTTCTAACTCTCTTTTCTCCTGATACTAATTTAGTCATTGCAGCTTATCTTCCTTTCTCGAAAGCTCTTTTCTTTTTATGGATTGGCATACGACCTCCTGTAAGTCTTCTTTTGTGTCTGCTATCTCTTGAAATTCCCATTAATTATGCTTGCTTAAATAAAAAAAGATTTTATTTAATTTTAAAAAGTGCTAATATCAATTTTCATATATTCTCTGTTCATATTCTGTAGATAAAAATATTTATCTATATAAAATATGTATTTAATCAATAAAATAAAAATAAAAACTTCTAAGATAATTGAATATTATTATAAGAAATAAAAAGATTTCAATAAGTCAAATTTGATAAATTAAATTAATATTAATAAACATAATATAATAATGGGTTCCTAACCAGCGAAGTCTAGAAATTTATATAAATATGAGTATCATTAAAATTAAATGGAAATCTAATAACCTAATGAACAAATCAAAGTTTCTTTTTTAAAAAAATCTAATTCCAATCATTCATAAAAATAAAAAGATAATCAATCATCTGAGACTTCAAAATTCAATGTAAATTATAAATTTATTATTATATAGACAAACAAATAATAATTTATACAAATTCTACATAATGATTTTTGTATTGAAAATGCAAAATTAATTGGAAATTAAAATCTTTAAATTGAATTTGTAATTTTTGCTTAAACCCCTTGCAAAATTTAAGTATATTAACAAAATTAATTAGTTATTTGTATAANTATCTTAATTTAAATTGTGTTTATAAAAAAAAAACAATATTTTCTAGGATGTACTATTATTATGCAATTTAATGTATTGATGATGGAAATCATTTCTTCTTCTATTCGATTTTCTTAATGTAAAATTCTAATTCTTTTCCTTCCAAGATATAACCATCAGCTCTTCCTGATTATCCTGGTCTTGATGTAATTCTGACTAACAATCTTTGATTGGCAAATTATTCTTAGACAAATTAATCAATAACATTTTCCTTAATTCTTTTCTCTTATTTTGAACTTAATTTCTTAGGTTAATCTCCTGTTGTTTCCTATTATTATAATAATAATTAATTACCTTCTTCTTCTTTGATCCCAATTCAACATTGTATTTCTTAGCATACCATTATTTGAATGGAGTAGCATCAACTTAGACAATGACACCTCTAGTTAAAGTTTTGGTTCTGACCAATTCATTATTGGATGGATGATAAACCACCTCAACAATTTTAGCTTTTTTAGCAACACCTTGGCTTCCCCAAGAGAAATTGCCTTCTGATAAACGGAGTGCTCTGAATTTGAAATTTCCTCCTCTCACTCTTAATCTTCTAACTCTCTTTTCTCCTGATACTAATTTAGTCATTGCAGCTTATCTTCCTTTCTCGAAAGCTCTTTTCTTTTTATGGATTGGCATACGACCTCCTGTAAGTCTTCTTTTGTGTCTGCTATCTCTTGAAATTCCCATTAATTATGCTTGCTTAAATAAAAAAAGATTTTATTTAATTTTAAAAAGTGCTAATATCAATTTTCATATATTCTCTGTTCATATTCTGTAGATAAAAATATTTATCTATATAAAATATGTATTTAATCAATAAAATAAAAATAAAAACTTCTAAGATAATTGAATATTATTATAAGAAATAAAAAGATTTCAATAAGTCAAATTTGATAAATTAAATTAATATTAATAAACATAATATAATAATGGGTTCCTAACCAGCGAAGTCTAGAAATTTATATAAATATGAGTATCATTAAAATTAAATGGAAATCTAATAACCTAATGAACAAATCAAAGTTTCTTTTTTAAAAAAATCTAATTCCAATCATTCATAAAAATAAAAAGATAATCAATCATCTGAGACTTCAAAATTCAATGTAAATTATAAATTTATTATTATATAGACAAACAAATAATAATTTATACAAATTCTACATAATGATTTTTGTATTGAAAATGCAAAATTAATTGGAAATTAAAATCTTTAAATTGAATTTGTAATTTTTGCTTAAACCCCTTGCAAAATTTAAGTATATTAACAAAATTAATTAGTTATTTGTATAAGGTCAAGAAATATGTGACACTTTTGGGGATGTTCTTCAATCAATTTAGGCTAAAGAATTCTAAGAAGAGATTCTATTAACTGAACCTTAAACAAAAAATGTCAAACTTATTAGCAAATTAAAATTTCCTAAAAGTTACATAATTCAGCAAAATTCTAATCCTGATTTAATTTATTGGAAAATTATTATTTTAATTTAAAACTAGAAAATGATGATGATTTATTATTATGATTATGAAGATGATCAACTAAAATTAATTAGATAAAAATTATAGTTACATCAGTAAGTTGTCTTTGAAATATAAGATATAATTGGAATAAATGATACTAATATAATTGAATCATAGAAAAATGATTAGGTAAATGGAAAATGCATAAGTTGTAAAAGCATAAGTTATGATACTATTATTATGCCTTGTAGACATATGAATTTATGTCAAAATTGTGCAAATTAAATGATTGAAATAAATAATCAACATTAATTATAGGTAAATAAATAACATGCTCTAGACTTAAGTGTCTGTCCTCAATGTAGTATGGGTATTTATTATTTGCAATTTTAGAAATTGATTTCTTTATTAAATTATAAAAAGCATGATGATTATATGTCATATCCTAAATTTATTTAGACTTTTTTAATTTATATTCTAAATTTTTCTATATAATTACTAGTTATTTAATTTTATTCTTATTTTTAATATCATATTAATGATATTTTTAGTAATAATTACTTCTAATTTCTATTTTAATTTTATTTTTGTAAAAAGATTTATCTTATTTGATTTCAATAGTTAATAAAAGATAATTACTCGCTTATACAATAATTAGTGCTCATAATCGTAATAATAGATAGTGTTCTTTGATTGAATAATTAGTATAAAAATTAAAGGTAAATTTATTATTTATTTATATAATAATGAATTAATTGAGAAATCAAAGAGGAACAGAAACAGATGAAGTATACATTGATCCAGAAAGAGGAATTGCCATAAATGCAAGATAGATGACAACAGAATAGCATTTTAAATATTATAAATCATCCTTTAGTACATTAAGACCTGATTTGACTGAATATGAATATGAAGCATTTGCCAAGAGATTAAGAGTTGGTATTTCAAAAATTTAACAAAAGGCGAATCATTTTTAAATCATATGAGAGTATTCCTAAATCATGAATCAGGTAGAGTTACTAATCTTTATCCTGTTAGTGCAAGACTTGATAAAATGTTTGTAATAATTATTTTAATGTTTAGAACTATTAAAATCAATATTTTCATCTAAGACCACCTTTTATTCTTGGACATAGATCAAATGCAAATAGAAATTGGGCTGATGCTTCTAAAGTTGTGAATTATGTTGAAAAGCAATTACTCAAAATTACAAAATATGGTAATTTATATATATAATCTCATCAGGATTGGATTATCCAAATTATTATGCTCCAAAAACTGAAAGTGAACTTAAATAAAGAGAAGATGAAATCTATGAACGTTTTATCAAAGAAATGAGAAAACCTCCAATTGCTGCAGTTTGATGAATTAGAAATATAAATCAAATCAAGATAAATTTATAATTATTATTTTTAATCTATATCTTAAAAATATGTATCTAATCTATTTCTTAGAACTGATCAAATTTATTTTTTAATATAAAATGTATTTTTAATTATTATTACATCAGAAGATATAATTTTGTGATAATTATAAGTGATAATGAAATAATTCATAATCACTGTTAATTATATTATTAATATCTTAAACCTTTATTTTCATATGAGCCAACCAATATCTCATCAATAATACCAAGATCTTAACTCTAGTACGTAGAGCTCTGAAGGAGAAGATTATATCCCAAAAAGAATAGTTTCCAAGTTGAACACAAGAAAAGTTCACAAAATACCTATTGAACAATAGAAATAGTTATTTAAATAGGTATTTTAAGAAGGAAAATAGATAAAAGAGGTAATTTATATCTTTGTAAGCTTTAGGTTGCGAAAGCTTTGGATCTCAATTATTCTAGTGCTAAATCTCTAATTCATTATTACAAAAACAATAAACGCTCTATTCCAGTTGTTATTCTTGATCTACTTAATACAAAAAAAACAACAGGATATAAGGTTTCTAAAACAATACCTTAAACAAATAATCTAAAAATAGAAGTCAGAGAAAATAATATGCTCATAAATTCCTATAGCTATTATGAACATCTAACAACCAATACTTGATTATTTATTAATAATCTCATTCATTTTAAGCACTTTTAGATATAATTTTTCTATTTATAACAAAAGTTCAAGGATTTTTTCTAAAAACATATAATAAGTTCATATTCATTTGATTTTCTTAAAGTATCTTTATTCTTGACTATTCAAATTAATTTAATATTTCTTTCAGATAATCAATATTCTTGTTTATTTTATATTATTAAGATAAATATATATCATAACAAATTTATATTATAAAATTCTTTATTAACAGAAATAAATATATTAAAAAATAAAAATATTTATAATATGTATGCATATGTCTTTTCTTAAACATGAATATTTCAATTCTATAAGGTAGAAGGCAAAATATAAATTAATTTGTTAGATTTCATTGTAGTTTTTGCAAACGATTTTAGCATATCTCTTAAATGTTTCTATTATTTAAAACTATTTATACTTCTGGAACGCTTTAAAATTTATAGAATTGTTTTATGTCTTAAATGTTTGCTCCACTATCTCCTTTAGTTCTCAAAAAATCAATTAAATTAGTCTTTAAATTTTGCTTATCATAAACTTCTACTTATGGCTTATCCTTTCCCTATTAGGAATCCCTAATTTCTAAATTGAAATATAATAATACCTATATGAGAGAGTTGGAAGTAAACAGGAATTTAAAATCCAGAAAATTCATCTTCACTTGCACTTTTTTCAATATCTGAATTGCTAGACTAATTTAAATATTTCTATTTCTATTTATCACTATAATGAAGGCTACGAAATTTATTTTGCAAATCTTCAACATCTTTTTAATTATTTTCAATTTTTGCTTTTGCTTTGTATGGCAAACAATGAATATTTTAAATATCCCTTGGTTCATTATAAGGAGGTGATGGTATCAATAAATTACATTTATTCATAGGTTATTTTAATTCGCTTATATTCATTCTAATTGATTATTTTTCATCTTTTTCATCTTCTATTGTTAAATAATATTCATTGTTTTTTATTTCCAAACTAGCCTTTAACTTCTCTTAATATTTATCTTATTTTTCTAACTTTTTTGTCCATTTAATAAATTAAGGTCTCCATTCTGTTGGTAATTCAATTTCAGCCAAGCAAGTTTCTTACTCAAAAAATGACTTATTTTATTTTTACATATAAATAATTAAAAAAATTAGAGTTAATCAAGATATTTTAATTTGCCATATATATATTGGATATTCTCTTTCTATTCATATAAATTATAAATCAACTTGCATTTATATAAAATATACTCATAGACAGATTCTTAATTGATAGCAATCTTTCAATTTTGGAAATACAAAAATTAAATTGAAAATTATCATAAATAGTTATATAAAACAAATGGAAACAAAGTATCATTAGCTTAATAATAAAATTGGATAGAGAAATCTTAAATTTGAAAACAAAAATAACAAGTTTAAAGACTGTCAGTTTTAATTTGAATATAGATGATAAAGATTGTATTTAATGATTACTGATAGATATAGTACTTGTTATTTATAATAATATTTAGAATATGTAAGTATCAAAGAAATAAATTGTGAGTCCACGAATATATTTTCATTAATTAATAAATAATATCAAGAAAGTTGTTAGTTAATTATATATTTAATTATATTTTGAACTAGTATAACTGATTAAAATCATAGATATTATTTCAACCTTAAATTAATGATGTTTATTCATGAAAAGATCAAATTTGTTTAGTTTTTTAGTTAATAAATTAATTTAATAATCTTCTCATAGAAATGAGTCTATAAAATACTCATAATCTAATGGATTTAGGGCTGTACTATTGTAATCCACATATGGATTTGGAGAACCAACTTTTGATTCTTAAAATGATTCTTCCTTTTTATCTAAAAATTTATTTGTTATGGTTTCACTTTTATCTAGAATTTAAATTGAATTTTTACTCTCTTGTCTCAATTCTTCATTGATTGCATGCAACATTTATCCAACTTATTTAAACTTAACCTCTATATCTACACTTTAGTTATAAACAAACTATTGTGTGTTATTTAATAAATACATGATTAAGATTTTGCATTTAATCAATTAAATATGAAGATGTTTCTTATAATAATTTCATGTCCTCTTTTAATTTATTATTTGTTTCTTTAATGTCAATTGCACATTCCTTAAATAAATTCTATTCTTCCTTGATATGTATGGCTACACAATATATATAATAGAAATACTTGGCTCTTCTTAAACTAGATTATTAGACCCTCCTACTGAATCATCTTAATTTTTTCTTTTGATAAAAGATAACATAGATCTAAATTAACAAACATTACTTTACTTCATGCCTTTACGAAAGCACTTATGCTTGAATATTTAACCTTCATTTGATTTCACCTTTTTAAAATTATATAAATTCAATTATCTATAATCATATATCTTATTAATATACCTTACAAAGCTTGAATAATTACTATGCTTAAAGAAATTCTACAAAACTTCTTTCTCCAATAAAATTTAATTGTAAACTATAAATGCAGTGCCTTAAGAGGTCCAACTAATAATATTAGTGTTCTTTTGATCCTTAAATAATTAAATACATATTATACTTCCAACATTTAATAAGTTTTAAGAATAAAAGTAGGGATGGATGACTTTGTATTCATTTTAATCTGATATTATATAATATTAATAAACAATTATTAATAGCTAAATAATTATCTATAGAACATTCACCAACTGGTTTTTTTATTAATATCAAAGTTGTTCTCTAAAATTCGTGCAGTAAACTCATTGTTAACATTTTACTCTTTAAGCATCTTAAAAACTTAAGCATATTTATAGCCCTCCTTTTATTATTGAACCAATGCTGATATCAAGCTATTTAATTAATCAATTTGACCCTATTGATATTATCTTTCACCCTCAGCTAGAGTTTCTTTATATAAATAGAATGTATTCAAAGTAATATCCTTAAATTATTGCATTATAATATATTTATTTCTGTATTATGAATATATAACAATATAAAATCTAATTCATCATTTCTTATCCATACTATTATTTAATTCATATTCATAATTAAAAAATGTTAAATTATAATTAGTAATATTTTATATATATATATAATGCTTAGCTTAAAAATTCTTAATATAAGTGTTAATTTTAAAAGGATCTCTTGTTAATGTGTTAATGGATTTATCATCATCTAATTAGAATCAAATTAAGGATATAATAATAACGTAAACTTTGATGAAAAGGAATATAATCTTACACAATTTTCTGTAAAATTTAATAGTTTTTTAAATAATATTTGAAGTTTTCATAATGTAATTACAATATATTTGAGATTATATCCAGTAAAATTCTGAAAATATTTGTAGAGAATTAGATTACTCTACATTTTTCCCTTTTTTTCAATAGATTAACTTCTTTCTTTTCAATTTTCAAATCAGATTTTTCTTTTTAATCCTAAAAGAACAATTAATATGTCAAGAATCCAATAATAAAAATAATCCATCAGAATTTGATTTTTATCGATATAATATTAGGATATATGTTATTTATTAATAATATCATATTTTTAAATTGATTTTATCAATAATATTGAATTTCTTGAAAAAATATCATTTAATCAAAATATATACTCATTTTCATATTTAAACACACATTTTTATTGCTAAAATCTATATATAAATTATTTTATGTTTTATCAGAGAATTTGTTTGAAACATAAAAAATTAATTACATAATTAATATGTATTTTTACATTGTAAGTTTTTACATAAATAAAATGATTTCTAATATTTTTCAGATTGATTAATTTAATTTTATTATTGATTTAAAATTTAACCAAAATGAAGAGAGTTGGGATATAAGATACAAGTGAATTTGAAGAGCCATTGATAAATAAAGAGAAATTCAAAGAATGCAATTTTTTATTCACCAATATTACTCCATTGATTGAACTAATAAATAGGAAATCGGATCAACTTGAAAATACAGATTTACAATATTTCTTAGAGCCTAATTTAAAACCTTAAATGGCAATAGATCTAGTTGAGAGGTATAAAATAATCGAATTATAGAATATAAATGAATGAGTTGGAGAGAAGAAAAAGAAATAATATTAGTTTAGAGAGGGAATATTAAACTCCTACATTTTATATATTTAAGTCTTTATTTCTTAGTAAATTCATATTTATAGGATTATTAAATTTTTTGGATAAAGCAATATAGATCGGATCGGTTTATTTATTAGATCTAGTGACTGATGCAATCAAAGATTATAACATACCTGGTTAAGATCGCTATATTTTAAAACCCATTTTATTATTATTATCAATGACAATTGTCTATACATTTGGTACATACTTAGAGTCAATTTCCAATAATTATTAAAACTAATTTACAACATTATTAAAAATAGTTGGTCAATACTTGATCTATTAAAAGGCTTTAAGAACAAAGTATCTTTAAGAAACTGTTTAAAAAGAAAAGAAAGATAAAAAGGATGGAGATGAAGAGTATGTAGCTAATGTCAATAATTTATTGACAGTTGATATTGAAGAACTTTCTGGTATTTATTGGGGTGTTTTTGGATGTAATTAAAATAAATATAATAATTAGTATCTTCATCTTTAGTGACTATTATAATAGCATTGTATATGTTGTACTTAAAATTAGGGAATGCAGTTTGGACTGGATTAATAGTACTTGGTTGTGTTGTTATCTTTAATTCTTTTACAACTACTTTAACAATTGTAAATATAATTATTCAATAATTTTATAGATGTTTTACAGAAAGGCTTTAGTTTAAAAGGATAGTAGATTAGCATTGTCTTCAGATGTAATTGAAGGGATGAAACAAATAAAATATTTGTCATGGGAATAAACATTTAATGATAAAATATTGGCGATTAGAAAAAAAGAATTTGGATATATAAGATGGTAGAAAACAATAGATATTATAAATAATGTATAATGGAGTAGTATCAGTTATATATTGTTGTACTTCTTTTTGTCCAGTTATGTTGATAAAAATGGAGAGGATGCATTGAAATCTACTAATGTCTTTACAATAATAGCCTTATTTAATTTATTAACATTTCCATTAGGAGTGATTCCTTATTCAGTTAATTAATTAATTAATACAACTGTATCCTATAAACGTATTAAAACATACTTAGATCTAAAGGAAATTAATGATGAAGAAATTATTAGATATAAAAATTGTATAGGAGAAGAATATGTAATAGAAATCCCTTAGATTTAATTCAAATGGCCATCAAAGGAGAATAATTCTGATGATAATGAGATATTTTAATTGAATTTGGCAGAATTAAAAATAAAGAAGAATACTTTAAATATGATAATTGGTAGAATAGGTTGTGGTAAGACAGCTTTATTGAATGCAATTTTAAATGAGATGGAAATAAAATAATAGAGTTAAAGTAGCTTAAAAGTAAAAGGAAGTGTAGCTTATGTTAGTTAGAATCATTGGTTATAAAATATGTCAATAAGAGATAATATTTTATTTGGTAAGACTTATGATAAATAATTGTATAAGTAATGTATAGCAGCTTGTGATTTGATGCCAGATTTACTTACATTTCCTAAAAGAGATTAATATATATTAGGACCAGATGCTAAGAATATTAGTGGAGGATAAAAACAAAGAATTTCATTATGCAGAGCTTTGTATTAAAATTGTGATATTTATTTAATGGATGATATATTCTCTTCATTAGATATGCATGTGGCTGATAATGTATTTAATAAAGGAATTAAATAAATGTTATTAGATTAAGGTAAAACTATTTTAATGATCACTTCTTAATTCAGATTTATTGAGATGTATAATAAATGTAACATTATTTATATGATTGATGGTTCAGTTTGTTAAGATGAATAATTATTAAATGAGTTTATGTCTTAAGAGAAGGAGAAATAATAAAAATTAGAATAAGAATAATTAGAAAAAGAAGAAAAAGAAGAAAAAAAATTGATACATGAAAAAGTTAAAGTGAAATAATCATAAGAAATTGATTTAGATAATCCAGAAGATAATTTAATAGAAGGTGCAAAGAAAAATGAAGTAGAGGAAGAAGAAAGAGAATCTGGTGAAATTGCTGGAGATACTGTTTTATATTATTTATCTTAAATGGGATATGCTTTAGTTATATTAGCTATCTTGTTGTCAATTGTTTTAATGTTGAGTAGAAATTTAATTGATTTTTGGATTAGATCATAAATTAGTATTGATAATCACACATTTGACTTTTTTGATGATTGGTTTGGAACATCTTTTAATAGTAAATTTTCTTGGTTGATTTCAATTATTGTTATGATTACATTTGTAAGTGGTACTATTATGAAAATCTGTATTTTATTAAGTGGTTGGAGAACATTTAAACGTTTAAATCAAAGTATTATGAATTCAAAAATGATATTCTTTGATAATAATGCTTAAGGTAGAATTATTAATAGGATATCTAATGATACATTAGTTGTGGATGATGAATTACCTTGGTATGTTGAAGTACTTATCATGTCATTACTTGCATGTATAGGCTATCCTATTGGTATCATAATTCTCTTTCCATGGTTGATTGTAATTATTATAATTGAACTCTTTGCATTTAGATGGCTATAAAAATACTTTAGAAAAAGTAATCGAGATCTTAAAAGAATTTAATCAACAAATGAAGGTAAAGTTATTTCACATCTCACTGAAACAACTGGAGGTTTAAGAACTATAAGAGCATTTGAAAAACAATAATATTTTATCAAGGAATACATAGTAAAATTAACTGAATCTATATGCTCTTTTGTAAATAGTAGAAGAGTTAGTTATTGGTTATCTGTAAGATTACATTTATTAAGTAATTTAATTTTCTTATCTGTTTCAATAACAATCATTCTCATGATGATATTTGATATTGAAATTGATTATGCCACTTCTGCTATGACATTAACATATGCTGTACTTATAGCTAATGAATTCAATGATACAATGAATTGGTTTACTTAAAGTGAAGCTAAAATGGTTTCAGTTGAAAGAATTAGATAATACTTTAATAATCCTTAAGAATAATATAATAGTGTTGTTAAAATTAATCCATAAGTTTAATAAATTATTAGATAATAAGTACCACCTAAACCATAAAATGTTGATCCAAATTAATATTCAATAGTTTTTAATGATGTCACAATTACTTATGATGATGTCTTATAAAGCCAAAATGTTAAGTATGCCTTAAAGAATTTTTCTCTATTTATTAAAAAAGGAGAGAAAGTTGCCTTTGTTGGTAGAACTGGATCAGGTAAAACATCAATTTTAAATATTTTATTCCGATTATATGATTTCCAATAAGGACAAATATACATTAATGGTCATGATGTAAATTATTAATCTTATTAAATTTTAGATTTAAAATATGTAATTAAGAGATGTCAGATAATTATTATCTATAGTGCCTCAATTTGGATTCTTGTACAATGCAACTCTTAGAGATAATATTGATCCTCAAGGAAGATTAACAGATCAATAAATTGAACAAGCATTCAACAATACACAATTTAGAATTAGAGGAATCATGGAAGATTCAACAAAGACTAATAATTCAAATTAAGAGGAAAATTAGTAATCCTAAACTAATATTAATTTTATGATAGCTAAATCAGGAGGAAATTTATCAAATGGTGAAAAATAAGTTATCAATTTTATGAGGGTCATTTTATAAAATAAGGATATTGTTTGTTTAGATGAAGCCACTTCAAATATGGATCCAAAAACAGATGAAGAATTACATAAGACATTATTTGATTACGTTTAAAATGATAATAGAACATTATTAGTTATTACACATAGATTAGAAAATATTTAATAGTATGATAGAATTGTAGTTTTGGAAAAAGGAGAAATAGTTGAATTAGGATCATATGAAGAACTTATGTAAAAGAATGGATGGTTTGTTAGATTGGTAAATTAAAATAATGAATGAATGTAATATTTGAATCAACCTCATTAAGCAATACGAAATTTCATATTTTTTTTAATCTATTTTTCATTTTTTATTTATATTGCTTTTTATTTTTTTTATGTTCCTTTATCTATAGAATTATCCTTTTAGTTTTCTGATCTTACTTAATTTATATGCTTTGAGTGTTTATTTTGTTCCCTATTTTATCTTTCACTTTTTGATCTCTTTCCTTCATAATTATTTCTATTTTAAATTGTATTATTCTTTTTATTTATTTTTTGATTATCATTTTAATATTTCTTAACTTTTACATTATCATTTTTTGCATTTATTTTTTCATATTCTTAAGATGTTTATAATTTTTCATTTTCATTCAAAAAATCAGCTGTTCTATAATATTTTTCTGATTTTTGGGTTTATTTAGTTTAATTATTATTATCAACATCTGAATCATTTTATTAATCCTTAAGAAATAGTTGATTAATCTAATTTTAATTTTTTTGAAAGTCAATAAGAATAGCATGAAAAGTATCTAGAATTCTATTACTTGCCAACCAAAAACTTTTGGAATCATCTAAATTTTGTCTTATTTAATTAGTAATTGATACATATTCAAATTATAAAGACTGATTGATTCTAAAAATCTAGAGAGATTAGGAAGAAGTAAATTTTGCATATTACCAGTATCAAACTATTAAAATGCTTTTACACATTTTGCATTAAAAGGACAATTTGAACAAACATTTTCCTCTTAGATTCCAATTTATGCTCTCAATTCCTTAAAAATTAAGATATCAGATTCTTAATTAGGACTGTCAACAGGACATGGCATATTGATAATTCTACCCAAATCTCTTTTGAAAAATCGCCAATAGAAATTACCTTTTGGGAGATCCTTGAAAGTATGATTAATGGATAGGAAATAAGCCTTAAATAGTTATTATGACATAAATATAATTATGTTTTTAATTTATTTTTATTTGATATTGTATCAATGACTATCGTGATGAATGTTTACGATATAGAATGCTGTTTCAATACTTGAAACCAAAAAGGCTCTGTCCTTGATTTCAATTCCAAATTCTTTTTCAAGAGCATCATGAATATGAATACATGTAGCTACATCAACATATCCTGCAGCATCATTCCAATTAGTATTAAATGTAATCGGGGTTGATTCCCACTAAAAAGATTAATCATTTCATTATATACTCTTTCAGGATCAATTTTTCTTAATCTTTCTCCTACTACTTTGATTATTCTCTTGGCTGTCACAGCTGGCTAAATTTAATGGTAATTATATACATTATTATAGACAGATCCATTAGGGAAATGATAAGAATAAATAGGGACTCTAGTTTACATAGTCTTAGCAAATATAGATACTAACCTATTCATATTATTTTTAATTATTATTTATTGTATTAATATACTCATTGTTTCTTAGCTTATTATTTTTTTGCTTATGGTTTCTTAGTCTCCTTCTCCTTAGGTTATTCCTTCTATTATTCCTTAGGTTATTATTTCTTTTATTCCTTCTTTTCATCTTTGACTTCAACTTCAGCATCTTCCTTTAATTTCTTGATTCTCAACATACCTTATTTTGCAGATAATCCAGCAGGAGTACTATAATTATTATTAATGTTACTTGACTTCCCAAGCACCACCAGCAATTTATAAACCAGTTTATGTGCATCTCCAAATACCAATAGCTTATCTCTTAAGTGAATGCTAAATTGCTAGATGAAATTTGTACGGCTCCAGTAAATGTATTGAAATATCTTTAGTGCTATGAAATTTCGAACTTCTTAATAATCTTTCTCAAAGATGCACCATATCTTGTACCATATTTTCCTGTAATTCCAACCTTCTTAGTCTTTTTGGTCATTTCAAATAATAATTAAAATCTTTAATTTATTTTTAAATTCTTATCCAATCCACATATACATATACACTATTTTCATTATTCCATCTTTCTAATCTACTTTGACACTCATTCAATTCAATAATATTACTTATCTTTTATCAATAAATCTCATTAACAGAAATTAATTGTACCTTAAAATCTCTTTTAATTAATTATAAATGAAAAAAAAAAGAAGTTGAAAATAGATTTAATTGGAAATATCATAGAGAAGAGAGAAAATCATGAAATTATTGAATAATAATATTGTATCAAATAATAATTTTATTCTGATAAAGAAAATATTTTGGAATATGTAGAAAATCTTGAAAATTTGATCTGATTTAATCAAAAATATTATATTAAACTAATCCAATAATTAAATTAGTTAAGGATTAATGATAATAATTCAAAAAAGTTAATAAAAAAATAATTAATATTCTTTTTAGTTAGATATAATAAGGTTATCTATACAAATATAGAAATTTGATTTATATATTTAATTTATCTAATCTTTCTATTTATAAATAGATAATCTATCTATATTATTTATAATCTATATTTAATAAATAGATTTAATATAAATTGTAATTTTATACATTTAATTTAAGTACATTTCAATTACAATGATATTTATTAACATGTAATCTTGTAAATGGTATTAATGGTTCTTAATGAAATTCTGCAGTAATTTCTAAATTAATAATAATAATTACTTTAAGCTGTAATATTGAATTTATAAAATATCATTTTTAAAGGGTATTATAATTTTGAGACAACAAATTTAAGTCTATTAAAATTGAAATTACCCAAAAAAGTAAGAGTATAAATTTAATCTTAAAGTTTATATTGGATTTTGACTCCTCTACCAATAGAATTTTCCAAAACTATCATTTAGAAAAAAAATAAAATATTTGATATTGTTTTAATTTAATGAGAACTTTCAATATTTTCATAAAATATTTTCTTTTCAGGAAATAATGATGCCATACTTGCTAAATTTTAACTTAAATTGACTAATTTTTAATTGAATTATCTTTCTTGAATAAAATTTAATAATTTAAAGACAAATAATTATCTTTTAATTTGTACATACTCCTAATATTTTGGTTAGATTGGAGTGACATTATTCAAAACCTTAAGAAATAATGTTACAAAATGATTATATGTTTAGTCAAAATTGATTAATTTATTCTTTCTTTTTTACATACTATGTTATTTGAAAATAATTAAAATTGTTGGATTCTATCCTGAATAGATTGAGTATTAGATATGAAATATTTCTTTATGAAATTAACATATGAGATCAATATTCATTCTTTTTTAATGATTAATTTGGAATAATTTAATATCCTACAAAATAATTGACTCTACTGTTTTTCCTTTGTAATTAGATTCCCTTAAAAATGAAAAAACGTCTTAATTCTAAAAGAAGAATTGACCACAATTATTGATTTATTTAATTGAGTAGTGTAATTAGTCTTCTTCAAATGTAAAAATTACATAAGACTGTTTCTATATTAAGTTGGCTAAAATATTATCCCATTATGAATCTATTAGAGTTAATAAAAATTAGGATCTCCTAGCATAATGAAATTTATAGAAGAAATATACAAAATAAATAATGAGTATTACAGTAGTGACATGAGGTACATAAAATTATATATCACTATGTACAATACCATAGATGACTCTTATGAGATTTAAACTTAAAATTGAGAAAACTGCATCAATAAATTCACCTGATAATACTATTATAATTTCCATTCCCATTTAATTTGCACCTTTTATGATATCAAATTCATGGGTATATTGATCATCTGATGCAAATATATATAAAACACTATTCAGATGATTTGTAAGAATAAATGCCAATCTTAATAGTTTAGGATATTTATTCACTGTATAGTATTGGACCAACATGTAAGCCATCATTATTAATTTCCACAATAGAAAGTCAAACCTATTCATTATCACAGAATTCAAGGAGATGACAAAATAATTAACAAAGAGACCTATTGAAATAATATTAAGAGTTAATATTCTTAATTCATTATGCTACTTAGTCTAATACATTTGCTCTATCTCTTTATCTTTGAAACTAAGCTAATATTTATTCATATTTATAATAATTAGTGATAATATCCCAAAATAATACAATTACTGAGTTTAAATTAAAAAAACAAGGTAAATTTTTCAAATGAATCATTTTATATGAGTTTTTGAATTAATTTATATATTATTTAATTTTATCAACATACAATTAAGTTGATGACAATCCATATAGTTTATAAAAATTAGAATAATATTGAAGATTCCTTTGTATGATTTCAACTAATTAATTTATGATAAAACAGTAACTTAATGTAAATAGAAATGTAGTTTTATTATTATTCATTAAATAATGTAAATAAAGAGTGTAATTTAAATCTAAATATTAAAATAATGATATTAGTATATATATATATTATAATATAAGGTATCTTATTAAAGTAATTGAGATGATTAAAGTTTATATAGATATTTCAGTCAATTAATTTGATTATTATTTATTAATTTATGATTTTATAACAAAACAATTATGATGGATATAAGGAATTTGATATGAATAGAAAGTTGAAAGAAGAAGAGAAGTAGGTTAAAGTGATGAAATAGGAGATCATGAAATAGCAATTGATTGAGTAGCAATAATTGTTAGAATAAAGAAAAAAGGAGTTATAGCTATAAAAGTAAAGAGAAGATGATGAATAAATTCAATTAATACGTAAAAAATAAGGAGAAGAAAAGTTTCAATAAATATAGAATAGAGAAACTATTAAATAAAATTTATAGTAACAGAACTATCTCATTTTGAATCATCAGAAAATAATAATTGATGAGAAAGTATTAAATTATTTTATTTTTTTAGAAACAAGAAACATTAAAAATAGAGAATGATATAATCAATAATGCAATAAATGGATTGTCATTAGAAGAATAAATGAGAAGATAGAAAAGAGAAATGTAAAAATAAATTGTTGAATAATAAATGAAAGAATTACAATAAAAAAAAGAAAAAGAAAAAAAAGATAAAGAATTTGAATAATTAATATACAAAGAATAAACATAAAATGAATCATAAAGAATTAAAAAATAAGAAGACTCATACAGAAATGTAACTTAATTCTATAATATTAATTAGTATTACCAGAAATTGTCAGAAAGATAAAATGTTTTATAAGATATTTATAGATAAAAGGTTGATAATCCAAAGTTGTAGCTTGATTATATTATTAATAAGCAAGTGAAAGAAAGATAAGATAAAGAAGAAAATGAATATTTAACTTAGAGATAATTATAATAAAAGTAGAAATAAATATATTAAAATGGATTGGCCAATTAGATGTAAGAGAAAAATGAAAAAAAGAAATTAGAAGATAATATAAAAGAACAAAGAAAATAAGAAATATTATAAGCTTCTTTATAATATGAAGAAAAACAAAGATTAGAAAAATAAAGAAAGAGAGAAATTTAATAATAATATCATACACAATTATCTACATTAGTATTTTTATATAATTATTATTTCTAGAGTTAATCTTAGAGTAATGGAATCCTAAATACTGAAGTTTCATAATCCAATATTTATAATCCATTAACAAATCCAAATCCTAATCAAATTTAAAATCCTTACATACTTCGATAAATATAATATAACAATACTAATCTCTAATCAAATCCATCAATGAGTTAATCAAAATTAGCTTCTTTTGGAAAAAGCAGTTTAATAAATTGAAATCATTCCATATATACATAATTTAATTATTCATATGATTTACTAATTGTTATATTCTACTTAATTTTAATTAACAATATTATGTATACTAATATATATAATTTATTCAAATGAAATAAAAACAAGGTTTTGGATAAAGTCTAATGCAAATGATGTAAGTTGATCATAAATTAGGACTAACACAGCATTCTAATTAGATAAAATGTTAAGTGAAGAAATTAAGATTGATGAATTGATGTATATATTTGGTTAGGAAATACAAAATACAGAA